TGCTCATCAAAATAGATTCTGATAAATTGTTGAGCTTCATTGAGTCTAAAAGAATGAAAAGTTTTAATATTGCGCATATAAAAAGTAGTTTTGGTGTGGGATTATTATCGTGTGGGTTTAGTATGAGTTTGAGTGACATGGCGGGATAGAATGTTAAGACTCGGTTTGAAACGTTTTGCAATGGTTGAATGGCATAGGGGTATTTATGTATGACCACGAATTGAAGATTCACTAGGAACGATAACGGGATAAAATAGAACACCTGTACAAAACATAAATTATTTGGAGAGCGTAAATCTCTCCGGCGCAAGATGATATACGGTGAAACGAAATGTAGGAAACAGGCGCGGGTAGATATTTGCTCGGCTAACAAAAGGAATTAGTGCATGGAGATCGATACTAATTTAAGTAGTAACAGGGAGTTTTGTACGGGTGGCGGCAAGCCCCGGGGACCCGTAAATATACGAGAAGGACGTATTTATTAAATTCTACATCTGTAATTTCTTCATCCGCGCTTAGTGCGAAATATTAGTATTTTAGATGGGATGGGTATAAATTGAAAATCGAGCCAGGAATTGCCGGAGAAGCTCTCAAAGGAATAACGACATGTATCTTTATAGAAGTTCCCGGAATCGAGTAGAAACTCCGGAACGCGGGGGCGGACTACCCCACCTCGCACATTACAATGTTTAAAGTTGGATGGGTACGTGTGCGAACTGTAATTTATACAAAAAGTTTACTTCACTAACCTTGTAATAATCTCCGCGAAGTTGTACAGAACCTTCTGGACGTGCGCTTCTTACTCAATAGCTCCGATTACAAAAGCCCCTTCTCCGTTCGAATGGTATACTTCAAACGGAAAAGTTCGAAATATCTCTGAAATATCCCCCGTATCTATAATCGATTAGGTAAACTTCCGGAAAGAGTGTGTACGGTCGCTATCAGCGTTAACAGTTTAATTCTCCAAGTTTTAATCGAATGCTACCGGGTAAGTTTCCTTTCCCGTTCCTTGCTCGCTTGCTTAGGGAAAATATGAATACTTGGCGCGAGAAATGTGTGTGCAGAGCCGTTTTTTCCACTCCCACGACATTACTATTCCCCTCGCGTGCCAATCGGTGACGTAATGTCGCGGAAAACCACCTCAGAATGTCGATGGCTCCGCGGGAAAAGTTCAGACCTCGGACCACTAATTTGCGGTCTATTCACACGGAATTCGACCCACACTCGAAATAAATTAAGTAACGCCTTAAATGACGACCCCGGGAAGGTCCTGAAGGTCGCCCGCCCGATCCGTAAATAGGAACAAGGATATAGATTAGGAAGCGATTAACCCCGCTCCTGCACACAGGATGTTTGGGAACTCGAGCGATCTAGTTTAACTGCTTCCCGGGCTAAAATAAACCAATCAAATTGCGTTTATCTTATGCTCCGTGTAAACATCCACCATGACGTATTCAACTGAAATCGGCATCCTAAACTTGTTTCAACACACCCCACAAAATCATTTTGTCAACAGTATTAAAATTGCATTACCATCACATCTATTTATTAAGTAATATATTTATATAGTTTTAGTTTTAGTTTCAGAGTCAAGATTAATGAAATGTTAACAAGACATATTAGCTCTTAAACTTGAAATGAATAAGAAGATGTGCTCAAGTTTGCTAAGTTGGGTATTATGGTTTGGAACGTATCGAAAAGAGAATTAATAGTTGGTAAATTTTGGAAATAATCTCGGCTGCAGCATAGGGCACGTTCAAAGGAAGACCGGGAAAGTTTAGGAGCTCTGGGATTATGACGGGATTACCGCGTAATTACTTGAAGTGAGGTGTCGTTAATATGGGCAATTGAATCGGGCGCCATACGCGAGTACGTCTACTTCGGATCTTTGCCGTATAATTGCGGACAAGTCGGGCGCTGCGAGGAAATTCGGTCGACGTGAAATATTAATTAGACCCAAAATTGATTCGCATATCTCAAGTTTTAATTAGCTATCTAACCGAACGGATAGTGTGTACTGGCGTTGTGTTAGAATGCGTTTTCCTCCACGAACTTTAATTAGTTCCGAATTCGACCGGAATTACGCCCGAATCGACACTCTTTTTTCATACATGCGAAATTCAATTTCTCGCCCTGAAACTTTTCAAGGCCTAAGATGAATGCGCAGCACGGGCGCATAAAAAAGATATATTATGTGCAAAAAAGTAATCTAGGCATTTGTATAGCTTTACAGGACAATGGACTGGCAGGATGTCACATGTAAAGTCACGGAGTAATACATCAGAGAACGTGATGTCATCAACTTCTAACCCCCTAACACCGTAGATTTACTTTTTCGCGCTGTTTCAGGTTTCGAACAATGGGTTTGCTCTTTTAAAGAGATTTCGTTCTATCAACCACTCAAAACTTGTATTACTACCATTTTTCCTTTCACTTACTCACTTTGCAACATTCGCAAAATTATCAATTTTTATTTATAAATAATTTTATTTTACTAAATTAAATTAAAAAGAATATATATTTTAATGTTTTCGTCATCAAAGAAGAAATCATATGTATTTTATCGAAACAATCGTTTCAAAATTCATCGGTTTATAATTTTATTACGCGAAACTCTCCGCTAATAAAATCGTGCAGCGAAAACCAATCACTTTTAAAACAGATTGTTTGTTTTAATAAAAACTATAAATCACTACCCGGAATTCGCTATCGTGGATTCCGCAAGGAATGATAAACATTTTCGGATTCCAATTACAGTTTTATTCCAATTGTGCTTATAAAAAAATTTTATTATCAAAAGAAATAAGATAATTTTGTAATAACACCAAAAGATGGTGCCCCAATACAAAATATAACTCCATGAAGCACCATCTATAAACAAAAAGCGAAAGTAAACGTTCTAAAAACAAAACACTTCTCTTGTAAAATTGGTTGTCTATACTCTACAAAATGAAATAAATTTCGTGTTAAACTCCCCTTCATAGATGGCGAAATTGTGCGTATCACCCCAATTTTTTTTAATAAAATACACAATTTGATTCGACCGGCACTTTTGTACCAAGAGATCTTATGGTAATTCTTTGATAACACGTCAGGCACGATTGCCCCGGTGACTCATGCTTTTATAATGATGAAACACCGACCCAGAAATATAATTAGCCTCTGTATTCGCGAAGCTTTTCAGTGCGTGAGCCAATATTGACGCATATCAAATTATCTAATGGAATTAATTACTAAAAATTACTTAAAAATAAACTATGTTTTCATACTATAAATGTTATAATAGCCGTGCTTTAGAGTTTATTACCTTGATACTTAAATAACTATTCATAGAGTGATGGATTAATTTTTGTTTTGAGTATTTGTGTTCAAAAGATAGCTGTTGTTCGAACAAAAGTAATTGTCTATCTACGGGGTAAATGGGCGTCGCTCTAATCACCGGCATCTAGGAATAGGGAAACTCATTGCGTACAGGCAACCGCAATCCATTTCAGCAGTGTTTAAATGCCGACCGAAGGCCTGAGGCAACTACGAACGCTGTGCGTACGTTTGTCGGATATCGATTGAGACGGATTTGAGTTCGAAGTTGTTGGGGCGAAAATCGAAACGGTAAATCTCTTGCAAAAAAACGAAAATTCATGGAAATGACATTTTTGAATCGGACTTTTTTTTGTTGTTTCTGCGAGGCTCTGGAATAATCTCTGCAGGAACAACGGACGAGCCCGCAACAGCCGTTTAGTAGCTTCGCATTGAATCTCGGCGCCCCTAATGATACAATAAGGGTGATGTACAGAACCTGCGTGAACGCGCACTCGTCCCCGAGGGGGAGACCTGCTATCGTTCGGGGTACCATTGTAAGGCCGCAACATCGCCGGCATCCATAGCGACTGGGACACAATGCGCCTGCGAAACGCGTCGGACTATTTTAAAATTAAAACGCGGCGAAACGTCGCGTATTGTGACGCCCCCGCCTCGTATTGCCGGCCGCCCTAAATAAATTTCGCCCCGCCGGTATTTAAAACAATCGGTACTTCGACTACTTCGAGGACTTTCATTTTGTCCCGCTGCATTTCAAGAACAATGTCCCTCGAAAGGCGCTTATTTTCAACCTTTGTTTCGCCTCCAAATCATATGTATCGATAACTTCAACTTTACAACCACGCGATTATGTACTCCCGTTAACACTCGAAATTTATATCACATTTTTTTTTTTTTTATTTCAATAAAAAATCAATATTTTTAGAAACTTTTATTGCAAGGTAACAAAGATCATAAAAACACGTACGAATACGAATCGCAAAGGTGACAAAATCCTCATCGGTGGATATATTTGGAATATCGAATCGGCGGATTTGACGGCACAATGGAGAAGTAATTGGAGGTGGAGTGACGTTTGAAGAGGATGTTAAATGTTCCATCCTCTTCCTCTTTCTGTAACCTTTTTAACGAGAATGTATACGAAAAAAATTTTATATTTTTTTTAAATTCACATAAAATTGGAGAGGTTTAACCACGCCCACTTAAACAATTTAAGGTAATAAAATGACACAACAAAAATTTTTTTTTTATTTCATACATAATAAATAAGTTACTATTTAATAATAGTGTTATAGTGTCTGATTACGCCTTATAGGTGCTGCAACCGATGCTACAAGTAAATTAAAGCCAAGGTCATTTTCAGCCGAGGCGCTAGAATCATGACAATGAACAATAAACAATGAACCATTTTGTATTGATAACCACATATATATATATATATGATTTTTGATGAAAATAATGTTGTGGTTCGAAATATTGTGATGGAAGAAAAAGTATTCGTCGGAACTAGCGGATGGTGATAGTGACGATCCGGGTTCTTTCGGGAGTGGTAGCGGGTAAATAGTTTCTCTATGGTCGTAGCGTTATACAACGGTTCGGCGCCTCTGAGTTCTGGAGAAGAACCAGCGCACGGTCGCAGATTGGCTTGAACCTGAACCGCGGCCGTTCGCCTGAGCGCTAGAGCGCATTTCCCTAGTTACCGCCGTGGCAGGTGGTTGTGTCGCGTTCTCGAACCGGCGATCGTCGGGTTGTGTGTTGTTGGCTCGTAGAGTCCGTACTTCGTAGCTCTGTTCGCGTACCACTTTGCGATTTTAAAAACTCGCCGGCGACGACGATCGAGGAGTTGAACGGCCCGATAGTGCGAGACCGTTGGTCCGCGTCCGTTTTGTCCAACGACAAATGCGATCGCCTATTGTTCTTCGGACGGCGCTCTTTCCAGATTTCTCGGCTGCGATGCCGAAGGAACGTTTCCCGTCCGGATCATTCCGCTCGACCCGTTAACGCACACCGTTACTTCTGGGCCTTTCCGAGGTAAGCGAAACTCCGCGCTTTAACACACCTGCGCTGCGCTTTCCGACTCCGTGTTTCTTCGTTCGACCAGGAAGCGAATCGCTTCTGTCACTTTTGATGCTGTCAGGGTCACGTCACACGTGCTCACCTGCGCCGTCGCACTATCACCTTACTCACAATTTTCGACCTAATCTACATCAACATATATAACATAAATAATTCTTTACATCTTCATCATTTTTACCCAATACATCCTTACACCATTTGAAATTTAAATAGAAATAAAAAGAACTTTTTTTTTAATCTAGCTTTAAATCCGTTGTGCGATAATCCATCAAATATTCCGAAAAGGCAATTTTTTCGCCGAGTTGATATAAACCAGTTGCGTTTCCGCATGCCAAAATGCTAGTCCTTGTTTTTCGATTTTCATTCTATCCTTTGAACAGCGTTTCGCGTTGTGCTTTACAAGTTCTACCCAAAATTTATGATTTCAATGAAAAATTTTTGTTTGTACCAACACTAAACTTTCCTTTACATGAAGTAAAAGTAATGTCCTCAATGCAGTTTTTTTATGGAGATATATGGTTCTTGTGTAACCTCTTTACAGTTGCAATGAGATTTACTGCCTTTAGAAAGTTTTTCTTCCCCGATGATTCGATCGTGACCTTCGATCAGTATTTTTTAATTTTAATTTATATTTATGTTCCAAAAACACATGGTTTAAACTAAGATATTTTGTAGTGTTAATTTATTCATCGATATTCGGTCCCGTTATGACCGAACATCAGCTGTTTGATATTCTGGGTGACGTTGTAGTAATTTAGTGATGAATAAAAAAGATTCAAGATATATACATTCGTTATTCGTTCCGTGTTATCAAATTTTGCGATCCTCGTTAGAATATTCTAGGGATTACGGTGCATGAAGCCTAATATTGGGATATGTTGAGGCTGGTCGAGCTCGGTCCTTTGTTTTGCGCGTTTTAATTGGTACGTTATCATTTACGGCGCGATGGCTTCGAAATTGCTGGAAACGTGCGGGGATGGGAGAAAAGGGCAAGAGGTGCTTAGCTCGGCGAATTTATGGCGAGATTATGTGCGTAATTATATATGGCCGGAGGTCGAAAAATGTTAAACGTATCTGATGGATGCACGTATTGTGCGCGGCGTCTGGCGTGCGTTTATTTATCGTGTCTTTACCAGCGGGTGTTGTAAAAAGAAAAAAATAAAAGCGAACGAACCTCGGCGAGGCCGTTTTGAAAATCTCGAAACGGTCACCGGCCGTGTTGCGATACTAAATTATTTAAATTGTCGTAAAACGGCCGGTACAACCGTACGGTACGAAAACGTATGGTCGTTGAGGGGCTTTCGCAACTTCGACGGTCTTTATTGTCTCCGACGGTTAACAACGGCAACCAACAGAAACCAACGGCGACCGCGCCAAACCCGATTGCCCATTCGTCGTCCACGTTGTTAATTGTTAGATAAATTAATTGCGAACGCATATCGGACCTTGTATTATAATAAACCATTGTGCAGCCCACGTTCGCTACGTACGCCCACTTTTACTATATAAAATTGACAATGTTCAAATCCACTTTGAAGTGATTTCAATCGAAACACGTCTTAATCGACACTCACCTTTCACCTTTGTTCATTCACTATTCTAATTCATTCAACTATACATAATCATTCAGACTTTCTTGTTAGAAAATAATCGAATATTAACATTTTTATATATATATACAAATTCTAATTCAAAATGACACGCAAATATCGGACTCAATATGAATTATTTATAAGTAGTGAGGGGATAAAGAAATTAGAGTGACTGTATACAATGAATATATTCAATTTCTAATTGTTGTATATAATGAAATGTTGCTCCAGGCTTAATATTCTATATACAGTGTGTCATTACATCTTTACAAGTATGCAACCAATATCACAGTATTGGTATTGCAATATGCGATTTGCAGTATTGGTTGCATACTTGCAATGATGACGTCGGGTACGATAATTAATTAACACACTGTACTATTCTATTCGACGTCTTCGAACTCGGCCGAGATTGTTTCTTATATCACGAATAAAACTTGGTAAGAAACATCTCGGCCGACATCTTCGAAGTCGGCCGCCCAAAGTATTGTTCATGATACTTAGGGCGACCGAGATTATTTCTTATACCATTAACACTAAAATAAATTAAGAAAATTTAAGAAATATGATAAAATGTTACTCCACGCTTAATCTATATACAGTGTGAATTAATTATCGTACCCGACGTCATCATTGCAAGTATGCAACTAATATCACAGTATTGGTATTGCAATATGCGATTTGCAGTATTGGTTGCATACTTGCAATAATGACGTCGGTTACGATAATTAATTAACGGCCGCCGTGAGTATTCTTCATGATACTTTGGGCGGCCGACGTCTTCGAAGTCGGCCGAGATTGTTTCTTATATCACGAATAAAACTTGGTAAGAAACATCTCGGCCGACTTCGAAGATGTCGGCCGCCCAAAGTATTGTTCATGATACTTAGGGCGACCGAGATTATTTCTTATACCATTAACAATAAAATAAATTAAGAAAATTTAAGAAATATGATAAAATGTTACTCCACGCTTAATCTATATACAATGTGAATTAATTATCGTACCCGACGTCATCATTGCAAGTATGCAACTAATATCACAGTATTGGTATTGCAATATGCGATTTGCAGTATTGGTTGCATACTTGCAATAATGACGTCGGTTACGATAATTAATTAACGGCCGCCGTGAGTATTCTTCATGATACTTTGGGCGGCCGACGTCTTCGAAGTCGGCCGAGATTGTTTCTTATATCACGAATAAAACTTGGTAAGAAACATCTCGGCCGACTTCGAAGATGTCGGCCGCCCAAAGTATTGTTCATGATACTTAGGGCGACCGAGATTATTTCTTATACCATTAACAATAAAATAAATTAAGAAAATTTAAGAAATATGATAAAATGTTGCTCCACGCTTAATATTCTCTATACAGTGTGAATTAATTATAGAATTACAAGTATGCAACCAATATCACAGTATTGGTATTGCAATATGCGATTTGCAGTATTGGTTGCATACTTGCAATAATGACGTCGGTTACGATAATTAATTAACGGCCGAAGATGTCGGCCGCCGTGAGTATTCTTCATGATACTTTGGGCGGCCGACGTCTTCGAAGTCGGCCGAGATTGTTTCTTATACCACTAACAATACTTGGGAAGAAATATCTCGGCCGACTTCGAAGATGTCGGCCGCCCAAAGTATTGTTCATGATACTTAGGGCGACCGAGATTATTTCTTATACCATTAACAATAAAATAAATTAAGAAAATTTAAGAAATATGATAAAATGTTGCTTCACGCTTAATATTCTATATATAGTGTGAATTAATTATCGTACCCGACGTCATCATTGCAAGCATGCAACCAATATCACAGTATTGGTATTGCAATATGCGATTTGCAGTATTGGTTGCATACTTGCAATAATGACGTCGGTTACGATAATTAATTAACGGCCGCCGTGAGTATTCTTCATGATACTTTGGGCGGCCGACGTCTTCGAAGTCGGCCGAGATTGCTTCTTATATCACGAATAATACTTGGTAAGAAACATCTCGGCCGACTTCGAAGATGTCGGCCGCCCAAAGTATTGTTCATGATACTTAGGGCGGCCCAGATTATTTCTTATACCATTAACAATAAAATAAATTAAGAAAATTTAAGAAATATGATAAAATGTTGCTTCACGCTTAATATTCTATATACAGTGTGAATTAATTATCGTACCCGACGTCATCATTGCAAGTATGCAACCAATATCACAGTATTGGTATTGCAATATGCGATTTCGTTCATCGGGTACAATAATTAATTCTATGCCGAGATTGTTTCTTATATCACGAATAATACTTGGGAAGAAATATCTCGGCTGACTTTGAAGATGACTTCAAATATATTGCTATTCCTTGTATGAGAGTATCTTATACAGGGTGGTCAAATTTTGACTTTATTTAATTTATTATAGATTCGCTGAAAATTAGGATGTATTATTTAAATACTCAATATGATATTTGTTTGTGTATAGATTTAATCGAATATGTATTGAATCGTCGACTGAGATCAGAATAAATTAGAATCGTTATGAAATAACGAGTGGAAATTGTCGGTGTTCTAAAAATATTTTGCATGGCATTAAATATAATGAAATTTAATTAAAAATGTTAGCGGTAGTAATCTAATATCAAGTTTCTAGTTCAGGTTTTGTGTAAAAGTATTAAAAATAAAATGTATAGAAACGAGTTACCATGAGGATGTGGCATGTATGAGAGTAAAAAAGGGGATGAAGTGGTACTTAGAAAGATTTTTAGTAGCCGAGTAATGATATTCCCATTTGCCTTCGGAATAATTAGAGGCCACGCATGGCTTTGTGGAATTTACGGGATGTTTGAACGCGGAATGGAAACCAAATTAATTAGAACATTTAATTATAAGCAGAGTCCAGGGTAAAGTGTAGATTATTGTATAATTCAGTTCATTAAAACTACGGTAATATCAACCCTCGCAGCTACGGTAGTGTATGCTTCTAATTGGTATGTAGGTATCTAGTTGATTGCGGGTATCGACTAGTAAAAATCATCCTTAACGATTATCGCCGTAAATTATGCTCGCGTTACGGGTGGAAAAAACTTGTTATCCAATGCCGGTCCCATCTTGACGTGTGAATTTTATAAATTAAAGTCGTTAATTCGGATCCGCGCGGAGGAAATGTGTTATTCAACGGCGGCTTAATTATCAGACAACAGACCTCGACTTCCTGTAAGTAGCGAGTTTTTTTTTCTTCTCTGAGGTACCGCTTCTTGCGCATTAGCGTCTTCCTTGTCTGGTTTTTCATACCGGATTAGAACAGATGTTTTAACACAAGAAAAATCCTAATTGGGATCGTATTATCGCCCGGGAAGTGAAAGAGTTATTGTTCTTTCTCGACTCAATTAATTCGAAGGAAACCCATTTTTTAATGCTTCTTTATAATGTCGGGTTCGTCGCTTGATCAAATTTATTTGGACATTGGGAATCCTTCCAGTTTTGCCGAATTTAAACGGCGACCAAAATGTAAATCGACGCAATTTCATTTTGTCGAGTAGTGTAGCCGTAATTTATTCTAAATTATTCAAGGAAGTGCGCGTTACAGACGAAATAAAATATGCCATTCAGCCGGTTTATAAATATTTATGGTTTACAGGTTTACGGTAACTATACGGCGGACTTAACAATTTGAACATTGAATCGTTTGATGTCAATTGAAAAAAGAAGCAATAAATAACAACCACAAGTGCGGGAACCACTACGGGTTATCTTTATTTCGATCGCGCCCGGGAGCTTCCTTTTCTTTGTCTGGCGGCCAGTGGAGCAACTGTAAATTCTGCTTATTACCTCCCTACACGATTCCAGAAAACGATAGCAAACTCCATTTTCCGATTAAACTGACCAATTACCAGATTTATGCCTTCGTTTCGAACTTCCGCCAGAACCGGAAACCCCCGTCCGACAACGTTATCACAAGTCGTGATTAGAAAAGACACAACCAAGTAAAAGAAAAAAAAATAAAATCTACAAAACGATGTACATACGTAGAAGGTGAATACACAGGATGGACACTTTGTATTCAGACGACTCCCTCGTGCCGTCACGTCCCATTCGCACCACGTATAAACGATGATTTAACCATTTAAATATTTATGATTATATGTGTAAACACGGGTTTTAGTAGCATTATAAATTCCACTTTAAAGGCTCGTGTCGAATTGTTCGGATTCTTCGTCGGAAACCATCCACCGTCCTTTTACCCTTTGTACCAGACTATTCCCTGCCTGCTCGAAGACTCTCTCGAAACAATCCGTATTGATTACGCAAACTTTAACGCAATCAACACAGGAACTTGTGGATAATTATATTATCATTCCTATTGGAGTGCCCCGTTATCGAAATAATCCTTCACCACCAAATTGGGAACCGGAACTAGGCCCCAGATTTTGCAATCGGAGAACCTTGTTGCTATAGTGATTCCTTTCGTACTATGTTCACGCACCTCTCCTTACTTTTCTTTACTTTCCATCAAGCAAAATCACATTTCAAAATTCTCGTCTATTTGTATATAGAAATTCAATATGTTACTATAAAAAATAACACAATTTTGTAGTACAAAGTTTATTACTAGTTTATAGAATATTAAGTTCAGTTAAGATCAACGAAGTTTTCTTATCTAAGTTCTCTCCGCGAGAACAACAACAGCATTGTTTTCATGAACCTTAAAAATTCTTAAAAAGTAGTGTTAAAAATTTTGTTTGACTTTGAAATTATTAGGTTCAAATAAAATTTGAATTCATGGAATATATTTATGAAATTATCACTAATTATAAATAAAAGTCTCATATTTCCAATAAATAAATCACTTTTAGTTCTTAACATATACATGTTTAAATCTAACCCAAATTAATATCAAATTTTAGGTTTTGCGATTATTATTAATTTTAAAAATTTGTGGAAAATCGATTTCTTGTAAAATTTTTATGAAATTATCACCAATTAATAATAAAAGTGTCTACTTTTCAGTAAATTAATCAAATTTGAAAAATCTCTTTTAGTTCTTGAGATATACATTTTTTAATTCAACCTAAATTAATGTTAATTTCTACGCCTTTTAGATTAATTTTAAAAATCGGTGAAAAATCGATTTCTTGGAAAATCTTTACAAAATTATCACTAATTAATAATAAAAGTCTACTTTTCAGTAAATTAATCAAATTTGAAAAATCTCTTTTAGTTCTTGAGATATAAATTTTTAATTCAACCTAAATTAATGTTAATTTTTAGGGTTTTTAGATTAATTTTAAAAATCGGTGAAAAATCGATTTCTTGGAAAATTTTTATGAAATTATCACTAATTAATAATAAAAGTGTCTACTTTTCAATAAATTAATCAAATTTGAAAAATCTCTTTTAGTTCTTGAGATATAAATTTTTTAATTCAACCTAAATTAATGTTAATTTTTAGGGTTTTTAGATTAATTTTAAAAATCGGTGAAAAATCGATATCTTGGAAAATTTTTATGAAATTATCACTAATTAATAATAAAAGTGTCTACTTTTCAGTAAATTAATCAAATTTGAAAAATCTCTTTTAGTTCTTGAGATATACATTTTTTAATTCAACCTAAATTAATGTTAATTTTTACGGTTTTTAGATTAATTTTAAAAATCGGTGAAAAATCGATTTCTTGGAAAATCTTTATGAAATTATCACTAATCAATAATAAAAGTGTCTACTTTTCAGTAAATTAATCAAATTTGAAAAATCTCTTTTAGTTCTTTAGATATGAATATTTTAATTCAACCTAAATTAATGTTAATTTTTACGCCTTTTAGATTAATTTTAAAAATCGGTGAAAAATCGATTTCTTGGAAAATCTTTATAAAATTATCACTAATTAATAATAAAAGTCTACTTTTCAGTAAATTAATCAAATTTGAAAAATCTCTTTTAGTTCTTGAGATATACATTTTTTAATTCAACCTAAATTAATGTTAATTTCTACGCCTTTTAGATTAATTTTAAAAATCGGTGAAAAATCGATTTCTTGGAAAATTTTTATGAAATTATCACTAATTAATAATAAAAGTGTCTACTTTTCAGTAAATTAATCAAATTTGAAAAATCTCTTTTAGTTCTTGAGATATACATTTTTTAATTCAACCTAAATTAATGTTAATTTCTACGCCTTTTAGATTAATTTTAAAAATCGATGAAAAATCGATTTCTTGGGAAATCTTTATGAAATTATCACTAATCAATAATAAAAGTGTATACTTTTCAGTAAATTAATCAAATTTGAAAAATCTCTTTTAGTTCTTGAGATATACATTTTTTAATTCAAACTAAATTAATGTTAATTTCTACGCCTTTTAGATTAATTTTAAAAATCGGTGAAAAATCGATTTCTTAGAAAATTTTTATAAAATTATCACTAATTAATAATAAAAGTCTACTTTTCAGTAAATTAATCAAATTTGAAAAATCTCTTTTAGTTCTTGAGATATACATTTTTTAATTCAACCTAAATTAATGTTAATTTCTACGCCTTTTAGATTAATTTTAAAAATCGGTGAAAAATCGATTTCTTGGAAAATTTTTATGAAATTATCAGTAATTAATAATAAAAGTGTCTAAATTAATATCAAATTTTAGGTTTCAATTAATTTATCAAATTTGTATAATTACTTTTAGTTCTTAATATATATATAATAAAGACATCTTATATGTTTTTATTAGGCAACTGAATTGAATGGATGTGGTTTGGCCAGAGCCGGTGTTATGTTGAAATAAAAGATGTTTTTTTGTGTTGCAAGATCTTGCAGGAGATGAAGTTATTACTTCGATTTCAAGGCACGTCTGCAAGGTTTTGAGGAGACACTCGTTAGCGCTCGTGCGAGTATCAAAGTATATAAATTCATAAAAGTGCTGCGGCATTAAATGTAACAATAAAAGTTTATCACGGCAGGTTAGTGGTGTCGGGGGTTTTTTAATTGGCCGATTTTATGCGTGAGTAATAAAAACTCGCTATCTTACGCTGTGTACTTAATAAGGTAAATCTTCTGTGTGTTAAGGAGTTACGGGTCATAACCGGAATGGTTTAATTCATCTAAATCCTTACGTCGTTTTCTATGCTTTTAGGGGTGAAGAAGCTTCAGTTATGGACTGTTTCGCCTGCACGAAAAAACCCACTGCCATTCACTGCAAAATCGTTCTCTTAGACGAACAAGAACTGATTCATGAAATACAGGTAAGTTTCTATACTTTAATTAATTAGTTAAGTACCATCAATAGAAATCACACATCATTAAATCGCCACTGGTCAACTTGATATTGTCCATATGGCCAAGGCAAGACCATATTCTGTTACAAAATGAGCTTTGGGATTCATTAAGGTCGTTTTAAATTTCTCAAGGAGAAATGTTAATCAAGTTAAAACATTGCCGGGAAGTCTTTAGATAAAATTAATTGCACCCGCGGTAATTTAGAGTTTAATTTGAATATTAAATTGTTGCTAATATCGCTGCTCGTTAAAAGAGCTGTACAAATCCCCATTCTCAAATTTAATACAATAGTTATATAGCGATGAAACAAAGTCCTGCTTTTCATACACAACTGAGACTGTTGCAAATTTGATATATTCAAGGAATTGCTGAACTTAATTTGTTTCGAGGAAACACGCCAAGTTTAGTATTCATAATTATTTGCCATATATTATCATTAGACTGGAACCGTGCGCGGATGTAATTCATGTTACTATGGGGACAAAACCGCCAGCTACGTAGCGCCATACAAATTGAACTCATGTACGCTATCGCTCACGGAAACTCTTGATAAAAACCTATTAAATTACTTTTGTGAGTAATAATACGAAGAAAAAAGTGCCTTCATAACTTAATTGGTTAAACTGTTTGGATCCGATAAAGATATGTCTTGAAATAGCTTTGATAAAATTAGATAATTTGAAATTCAGAAAAGTTGGGAGTAATAAATAGAGTCGAAAAGGGGTTTGAAATTGGTGATAAGGGAGTATCCGAAGTGAACCGTTACCCCCTCGTAAATAATTAACTTTATGGCGGCACGTCGTTGAAATTTTAATAAACATTAAACTTAATTTGGAGCGACAGGGGACGCGAACGACGAAGTATAATCTCAAAAATGCCTTTGATCTAAGAATCGGCAAGCTGGAAAAGCTGAAGGGCGAAAGACAATTTTCTAAATGCCATAGGGTAAACGTGACCAAGGCGGTTCAAAGGAGCTCGAAGACGTTGGTAACCAGACGAGTCATGTATAAAAACAATGGGCGCCTAGGAACAAAGCTCCATTATGAAATTTCGCACCTGTTATTAATATATTTGGTGTCTCCCCCTTCGTTATATGAGGTTAAGGGTGTGAATTCGCCGTATAATTGAGTATTGACGGCACGGCTTTAAAGGGGTACTACTCCGCTAATTTCACGCACAAACGGTCACAGCGGAAATAACTTGTAGGTAAGTGCCGAACTTTCTGCAATTTTTAAGTGGAACACCAAATTGCACAACGGCAAAAACGAACAAAACGTACGTTCTCGGTTTAGAGCGAATTTAGCCAATTTTTTTGCGAAATGTTAATTGCGAACCCCGTACATTTGTAGCTGCAAACTTTTTCATCTGCTTTTTTAATTACGACCAGTGTATCGATTTCTCTATAATTCATATTCCATCGTATTTTTGCCCTTTGTTTCAAGAACTCTTTTTTTTTGTCCTTCAAAAAAAAATCAATTAATAATTTTTGGCGAGTTTGAACCGGTTTATTTCGCACAATGTTCGATTCAAACTAATCCAATCAATAATTTTCAAATACATCGTCGACAGGTTTTAACATTTTTACTATTTTATTGTTCAATCTAAGCATTTAACATTTAAAGTAGCAAATATGAAAAGAATTTTTTTAATTTTTCTGGAAATACTGAAATACTGTACAGGGTGTCCCGTTAAGCGTACGGAGCGGCTTTATCTCAACAACGGTAAGGCCTAGAGGTTTGGGAAAAAAATCTTTATAAGCAAAGTGGGCAAGAGAAATAGCTGGAAATTATTTTGAAGCTGCCATAGAGAAACATAAAATTCCCGCTATCTCAGAAAGTTAGACGATGAGCTATAACTTTGACAACATGATTTAGTAGCTTGGATAATACCGCATCGCTTTTGTTTTGCAATATTTTTCATATCTGTCATAATAAGGGAGGGGGAGGCCAATGCGTTTTCAAATGTTTACATTTTAATATCTCCTGGACCATTCAACCGATTTGAATATTTTTGGACTTGTTTGAAAGAGCATTTCATGCTCTTTTAAAAGATATTTTCAGTAGACCGCTTGGTTTAAAACAAATAAGCTAGAGGGCGTTATCTGCAGCGGTTACATATTTTTGTGATTTTTGAAAAAAAGTTAAATGGAACGGTACTATTTACTTCACAGACCGTTAATCACCATAAAATTTGCTAAATATTAGTGAAAACCGCATCTCGATATCTCCATCCATTCTCGAATTATAAAAGAAAATGTTAAAAACTCGAGTGCCATCAATCGGATCCAGTTACCTCATCGAGAAAAACAAATCACATTACCATGGTAACTGTAAACATGTCATTTACTAACGCAGAAGCGTATGATAGAGCGTATGATGATTTATTTTCAATGTTTCGAATACGATCCAACTGCATGGCAAAAATGTGCAATGCAATTACGACAAAGAAAGACATTTTTCTCTAGAAGTGTTTTTAAGATTGACTTAGCGATTACGGAAAACTGGCAACGTGTAGCCCATTCCGACATTCACTAAAATTTAGCAAATTTTAAGGTGACTAAGGGTCTGTGAAGTAAATAGTATCGTTCCATTTAACTTTTCTTCAAAAATCACAAAAATATGTAATCGCTGCAGATAACGTCCTCTAGCTCATTTGTTTTAAAGCAGACGGTCTTACTGAAAATATCTTTAAAAAGAGCATAAAATGCTCTTTCAAACAACACCGAAAACATTCAAATCGGTTGAATGGTCTAGGAGATATTAAAATGTAAACATATGAAAACGCATTGGCCTCCCCCTCCCTTATTATGACAGATATGAGAAATATCGCAAAACAAAAGCGATGCGGTATTATCCAAGCTATTAAATGATGGTGTCAAAGTTATAGCTCATCGTCTAAGTTTCTGAGATAGCGGCAACTTTATGTTTCTCAATGGCAGTTACGCCCCCTAGCGGTCGAATTACGAACTTCAAAATAATTTCCAGCTATTTCTCTTGGTCACTTTGCTTATAAGGATTTTTTTCCCAAACCTCTTGGCCTTACCGTTCTAGAGATACAGCCGCTCCGTACGCTTAACGGGACACCCTGTATATTTAATGAATTTTTTCAAATTTTGAACTGAGCAGAATTTGATATCAATTTAATTTGAAGTGCGTCATATTCCTCAGCTTCTAAAGTAATAAATATGAAGGGAAAATTGTTTCTGCCATTTTTTATTACTGTGAAATCCCGATAATACATAATAACCGATAAAACACGGTTGTTATTAAATGGTCTAAAAAAAGAATTAAAACTAATTGGAAGAAAAAGTAATAATAAAGTGACGTTTCAGCTGGAGTAAGAAAAGATTCGTAAGGAAAAAAAAGAATACCTGGAGAAGATGTATAATTGGAATCGGTACATATTAGGGTGAAGGTTGAAAAGAAGAACTAATTACTGAGTCAGAGATTTTTCCACGGTCGGCTGGAATTTTGAACGTTCGCGTTTTCATAATTGTGGCGCGGAGTGCTGACTTTTTCTTCAGTTATTTCGTTATGAATAATTCATTATATAGTAGGTACGTTGGTGGAGTGGCGCGCACGCCACAGACGTAGAAAAAAGCAAGACGAGCACACTCGAAAACTCGAAAAGGAGGCCGATCCTTGGAGGTATCTGATTTTAGATACTCTTGTGAGTGGCCACTTCACCCTATGACCGCTCCTTGCTGGTTTTTCCTGAAGGGACTCACTATTATGCCGTATCGCTTATTTACCTTAGCCGTGTAATTCTGGGGTTACTTCTCGCGACCCAGATATATCCGAAAATAAAAACGCTTCTTTTGTCGCCAATATCGATTCTCCTTAATGAGTTCGCCGTCAAGAATTTTTCAATATTATTAAATTCAAGCTTAAAGTTAATTTAAATATTCGGAGTGCGCCCCCTGTGTACCGATGTTGATTGGACGTGGAGGCCTCTTTAAAGGGGCGCCCGCAAAAATCAATTTCCTCGAACATATTACCGAATTTAAACATACTGTATGGTCAATTTCCTCAGCCATTAATACAGTGATGCCCCCGGTGCAAATTGGCTTTTAAATGGCAAGCCTCAGGGGATATAACCCAAGTAAAATATTATTCGTTATTGTTTCATACCTCTTATTTAAGCGAGATATGAATTATTCACAACCAGTTCAGATAAAAACGGTTGTTCTACCTACGTTCAGGATCAATTGCAAATTTATGGGCTTACTTCATCCTGATCTCAATCACCAATGGCTAGAAGGCGTGACAACACGCTGGACCATAGGATTAGGAACACATTCGATATATTTTTATCGGGCGTCAATCTCGACTCTTGGTAAGTCTCGGTCGATACTAGGCTTTCCACAGCTTACTTTTCTTGATTAAACACTTACGGAGTGCGGCCGCCGTCTGCTGCTTTCGAGAAAACTCCAGATAAAGTAAATTACTTATTTACGGCAAGATTTGAGTGATGAATAACTTACTTTCCTTCCCGCTCAATTTTCAAACTCGTAACGAACACTCACTCAACGTTGACAACATTAATTCATTTCTTCAACTCTTTTATTAATTCTTTTCTAAATAAATAGTGCAAAAAATAAACTGTTGAGAATTTTTTTTGTCAAAAACATTTACATAGAGGCGAGTAAATTCTAGACATCAGCATTTGTAGGGTGGATAGATGGAAAACAAGGGGAGGACTAGATCTCGGTGGAATTGTTAATTTCGGGATAATTAAAGGAACAGCCAAACAATCTAGAATCGCAGTGTGACGCCAGGGCGAATTTAATCGCAGTACATTATTAAGTAAATTAAATTGTATTTTAATCGACGGATTTGGACGCTAATGGCCGCTTGAGGCGGGCATTGTGAACGGAATTGATTTTTTTTCCAAACCGGCCGCTTTTGTTCCAAAACTGAATTCCGAAAGGCAATTACTTTTTAATAACTTTATCGGAGCTTATGAT